AAGAGGAGGAGTCGGGCACCTCTTTGAAGGACAGAATGAAGGCAGGCATGAGCGAAGTTTCTAGGTTTGCAGTGATGATCTTTGCTGTGTTGTTAGTTGCACAAGCATGTTTTGTCAAAAAAAATTTTTTAAACCACATTTTACAAACAGAAGTGAAAAGAGTTACCACATTTTGACAAAATACATGTAACATACAAAGTGTAGTTTTAAAAATTTGCTTGAAAGATTTATTTATTTATTTACCAGACAGGAAGAATGATGGGGAAGTGGAGACAGAAGTGAAAGATTGAAAGAGATTCTTCAGTTCACTGGTTCACTCCCCGAACAGTAACAACAGCCATGGCTGGGCCATCCTGAAGCAAGGAGCCCAAAACTGTATCCAGGTCTCCCACAAGGGTGGTCTAAGCATGTGGAGCACCGCCTGCTGCTTTCCCAGGCACATCAGCAGCGAACTGAGCTGGAGGCAGAGCAGCCACGGCTTCAGCATCGGATGATGGCATGTACTTGAGGTGGTGGCTCAACCTGCTGTTCAACCCAGGTGTGCAGTTCAGCGGCAGTGCATGCATTGACATGGCTGTGCAGCCATCGTTATCATCCAATTCCGTCTCTGTCATCATCCCAAGCTGAAATTCTGCACCCTTTCAACACTCTCTCTCTTTCTTGCTCCTCCCAGCCCCAGGTAGCCACCAACATAGCTTTGTGTCTCCATGAATTTGGCCACTCTAGATACCAGGTATAAGTGAAATTAAGCAGCTGTCATTTTGTGATGGTCTTATTTCACCTACAGGGTCACCTATGTTGTGCCAAAAGCCAGGATTTCCTCTTTAAAGATCACTGATACTCCATCCCATGATGAATGACATTCTGCTCTTCCTTCAGTTGATGGACGTGTGGGTCGCTGCCAACTTTCGGCTAGTGCAGTGTTGCTCTGTACACGGCTGTCACACTTCTCTTTCAGTTCCCTGCCCCTGCTTCCTTTGGGTAATTCCAGAAGGGAAACTGTATCAGATGGCAAGTCTACATTTAGTTTTAGAGGACTAGCCACACTGTTTTACAAAGCAACTGCACTGTTTGACACTTTCATCAGCAATGCATAAGGGTTCCAATTTCCCCCACATTCCAGTTTTATACATTTTTGATGACAGCGATTCTAGCCAATGTGAAATGGCATGTCATCAGAGCTTTGAAGAAAATAGATTTTTTTTTAAAAAAATCTGCTGTTCCTTCTGGTTGAGGGAATCCTAGAGTATGTCTACTTCTCAAGCACCTCCAGTGGATTCTGGGGTATATACACCTATGTTACCTATTTATTTGAAGGGAAGAGACATACACACAGAGAAACGGAGATCATCTCTCTGCTGCCTCACTCCCCAGATGCACACAATGGCCAAATCAGGGCCAGGCTGATGCCAGAAAACAGGAACTCTATCCTGGTCCTCCATATGGTGATAGGGGCCCAGGCGCTACCTTCCTGGGGACATAAGCAGGGAGCTGGATGGGAAATGGAGCAGTCGGGACTGGAAGTAGCACTGGGACAGGGATGCTAGTCTCACATTCAGCAGCTTGACTCAATAGTGCCATCACGCTGGTCAACCACACCACTTCGTTTTTTAAAAGATTTATTTATGGACCCAGTGTAGTAGCCGAGCGGCTAAAGTCCTCGCCTTGCATGTGCTGGTATCCCATATGGGCGCCAGTTCTAATCTCTGCTCTCCTGCTTCCCATCCAGCTCCCTGCTTGTGCCCTGGGAAAGCAGTCGAAGACGGTCCAAAGCCTTTGGGACCCAGTACCCATGTGGGAGACCCCGAAAGAAGCTCTGGGCTCATGGTTTCAGATTGGCTCAGCTCTGGCTGTTGCGGCCACTTGGGGAGTGAATCAGTGGATGGAAGATCTTCCTCTCTCCTCCTCCTCCTCTCTGCATATGTGACTTCTCAATAAAAATAAAGGCAGGTTAGATTTATGGAGAGGCAGACAGAAAAGATCCTGCATCTATTAGTTCATTCCCCAAATGGCTGCAATGGCTGGAGCTGAGTTTATCTGAAGCCAGGAGCTTCTTCTGGGTCTCCCATGTGGGTGGGTGCAGGGTTCCAAGGCTTTGGGCCATCCCCTACTGCTTTCCCAGGTGATAACCAGAGAACTGGATAGGAAGTGGAGCAACTGGTATATGAACCTGTGCCCCTATAGGATGTTGGTGCTTGCAGGTGGTGGGTAAGCCTATTGAGCCATCACACCAGCCCATGCCCCAAGCCTGTTTGGTCCAGAGCTGGTCCAGAGCTGTTTGGTCCAGAGCTGGAAGTCTGGTCCAGAGCTGGCACACTGTTCCTTTGGCCAGACCTCCTGTAAGGCTGGCACCCCACCTATGTCAGCCTGCTCTGCATCATTACAAGGCTCAGGCATACCGATGGGACTGGCTGTCCACGAATGTCTCACTGGTTTCCCTTCCCTAAGCTCTGCCTCAACAGAGCTCAGACAGTTGCCAGTTACATCAACTTCAGATTGAAGATATTAAAAAACGGTACTGAAAATGTAAGAATCTTATTTTACCATAACCCCCTAAACGATACAACACAACAGTACTTACATAGCATTCATTTGGGGTCAAAAGTCATCTAGATGTGATTTATGCTATAAAGAAGGATGGTTGTGGATTCTATGCAAGCACACAAGGCACCCAACAGGTGCATGTCCCGGAACCCATCCCCCACAGACATCTAAGGCGGACTGCACTATGAATGGCCTGGACCCGCCTGGCTCCTGGCCCAGTTCCTATTCATGTGTCCCTGGCAGGCAGAGCGAGGAGGCCAGACCAGGCAGTGCCAGCCTGGGACTGTGCTGTATAGGCCAGGCCCTGGATGGCCAAGGGCTTGTGTTCGTGGCCTCACTGGGAAGGTGCTTTTAAAGGAAGAGAAAAGGCAACCACAGACTTCACAGTGGGTGTTGGGGGGAGGGATGTCACCAGAACACTGCTGCCTTCCCCAACCCCTCTCTCCTTCTACCCCACCCCTCCCCACCCCCAGCCAGGCGTTCACTGTGGAAACTTGCTGCAAGACAGAGCATCCACAGCCTGGGAACCTACCGGCTCAGGTGTCCCTGCACAAGAGAACTGGACTCTCCTCCAGCTTTTGTCTCCCTCCCTTTTCCTGCCCCCACCCTGTCAGTCACACACAGGGCTAACTCTGCTGCCTCCCAGCACGTGTGGGAAAGGGTTTTACGGAGTAGGTTCCAAAGCTGCTGCATCCCCAGCACCTGCAACAACACCTTCACGCTCATGCAGCCCATCGCGTAGACTGCCATGGGTGACTCCTGGAGACGGAATCAGCAGCGGTGGGCGGTAACTGGGAGAGCAGGAAATGAATGAGCATCAGTTTCACTTTTGTTAAAGACGTACGTAGCAGCGCCCCTCACGTGTTTCGGTATCACTGTCCTCTCTCATATGCTGGTTGGAACACAGAGGCTGCACGGCAGTCACACGCTGAGGTTCGGTTGAACTAAAACCAGTGTACACGCATCTCCTTAGCATTCTTGGGACTTCTTGGTGAGCCTGAACTCTGGGCTCCTGGCGCATTTCACAACCGTGATCAAAGAAGCGGTCCATTGGGTATTTCTGCGAATGTTCCTCAGTTCAGTTTGAGTGGGTTTTCTCTAGTGAGGTTACCCTGGCGTTGTAGGGTTTGAGAGATGACTACAGAGGTCACGCTGTCCTACTAAGGACCCCTGCATTCACTGAGCAACAGCAAACCCTTCTCCCTCCTCTGTGGCTCATGAATAGGCCAGGCATGGCTGTGTGCTTGTGGCTTAGGGACAGGCACCTCTTTACCCCCGCGACAACACGCTTCGCTTGGTTCAGACTTTGTGTGAACACAGCAACGCCTCTGCTTCAAGGCTGAATTTTTTCAACAACACATCACTCTTTCCCTTGAGATGATGGCATCCTGGGCTAGCGCTGGGCACTCAAAGTTACACCTGCTTGCTGGATTCTAGTCCAGGGGCTTCCTTCCTCTCAGACCAGACAACGTGTCCATCAAGTCCTTCCAGAGGGTTCTGAGCGCTGCTCTCCCACTTACTTGTGTGGTCCCTGGGGCAGTGATGCTGGGTTTCCATTTCCAGGCTGGCTTTGTTCTGCAGTCGGGCAAGCTGTCCAGGCCCCTCAGATCCGACAGCAGCAGAGAAGTCCTGCAGCTTGGCACTGCACCCAAGGGTTGGTGTTGGGTGGCCTACCCACTCAAGAAACACTTGGAGGTCCCAGTGAGAGTTGTCTTCTTTAATGTACTTTGCGTTTCCTGCACATATTCGGGTGGTGCTAGTGTAAGCTAGAGGTGTCTCAGTCAAGGGCTCCCAGCGCAGAAGCCCCAGGAAAGCTGAGCCCTCCACCTCGGCTCCAAGCCCGTCCTGCGTCCTGCCTGCGGACTCAGTGCACACTGTGATCATGGCTGCACCTGCCAGGCTACTGCAGGGAGCTCGAAATTAGCAGTTCGGTTTTCCCCCGGCGCAGCCCAGGGCCACGGGCCGGGTGAAAAGCGCCAAGCGCAGATCCCCGGACCACTTGGAGAACACTGAAAACAGGAAGGTCCCATAGATGCGGGAGGGCACCGGGCCCCTACCAAACCTGGGCTCCAATCCAAGCACTGGTAGGTGCACCTTCAACGTTATAGACAGGGACTAGAGGGCCTGGGAACCAGGGGAAGAAGTCGGCTGCAAGCACACCAACCGAGCGAGGCCTCTGCAGCCACTGCTGGCGGCCTCCACGATCCCCAACCCACGGCGCACTGAGATTCCGGGGCCCAGACGCCGCAGCCGCGGAGGACCCGGTCGCCACCACCGCCGGCCCGTCTGCCAGGCGTCATGGGCGTGTGCAAGGTCCCACCGATGCCAGCGCTTCAGGTGGGTGCCAGGCCTGCTGCCATCCTCCATCCCCAAGGTGCGCCCTGACCCGGTCTCGGGGTCGCGACTCGTGCGCCCCACCCCCTCGCAATAGCTACCCGGAGCGCGGTCAGTCCTACCTCGCCGCTTGGCCCGCACGATGCCCTTCTTCTGCAGCACGAACGTGGACCCATTCACCAGGCTCGACACGACGGCCACGCCCAGGCCGAGCGACACGGCGGCGGGGCTCGGGCTGCGCGCCCCCTCCCCGGCCGCCGCTGCCGCCGCTGCAGTCCCCATTCCGCCCGCGCTCGCCCTCCGCGCCTGCGCCTGCGCGCCGCGCCCGCCGGGCCGGGGGAGGGGTGGGGAAGCTGGGCTTGCGGGGGAGGGCAAGGGGCAGGAGGACTTCAGGGGGCCCGGGTGGGACAACGGGGGCTCTGTGGGTTGGGGCGGGTGGGGACTCCGGCGCTGGGCAGGTGGGTGCTGCGTGGGCAGAGAGGGGGTGCCGTAGGGGTGGGGGCAACCCGGTCACCCACCAGGGTCGGGGCTGTGCCAGGGGTAAAGCCAAGGTCAGGGGGGAGAGGGGGCCAGAGCTCAAGTGAGCAGAGGGCCCAGGAGTGGAACCTGGGGCTCCCCGCAGGACGCAGGGAGTGGCAGTGAAGAGCAGGGCGTTTAGGTCAGGGCGGTGAGTGGGTGGGGAGGTAAGGCTCCAGATTTAGCAAATAAAGATCCCGGAGTCCTAGTTAAGTTCGGCGTCTCAGATAAACAATCAGTAATTGTGTAGTGGACAGGAAAGCGCCGCAGGACGCAGCCCTGGCTGGGACCGCGGTACCGCCCAAGCCGCCGGTCGGAAGTGGACCGCAAGCACGAAGTCCAGGGAGCCGTGCTGAAGCTCAAATGCGAACCCTGAACGCAGCGAAGAGCCGGCTGCTGGCACCCTGGGGCAGTGAGCTGGTCAGCACAGAGTCTTGTAATGTTTATAGAACTGTATCAAAATCCCCAAAAGGTTAGAAACTCTGAAACAGCTACCTGGGATTCAACCCTCACCTAATTGTTACCTTAGGTGCTTTCCCACATGCGTAATTACTTTTACATGTTTCCAAATACAGCACACAAAATTCCCACCTATCATAATCAGTGTTGCTCCATTACTGTGATGCTTTTTCTGGCAATGTAATTTTTTTTATTTTGGCATAAAGCTGGTTACCATCATTTGTTTAACCAAATAGCTCTTTTGGTTGGTAGATTCTACTACTTTCTTCTGACTGTAGTGTTGTCATAATGGACACCTTCAAAAGTTTAAAAAATATTGAAGAATATTTTTGTAGTTCTATATTCAAATTACTTTGTGAAACAACATAAAAATCATATGGTGTTTCTGTATGAAAAAGTTTCTTCTGAATGAACCTATCCATTGTTTTTTTTTTCTTTAAAGATTTGTTTTATCTTTTCGTAGAGTCAGAGTTACAGAAAGAAGGAAAGATCTTCCATCCGCTGGTGCACTCTTCAAGTGGTTGTAACAGGTGGAGCTTGCCAATCTGAAGCAGAAGCCAGGAGCTTTTTCTGGGTCTCCCAAGTGGGTGCATGTCCCAGGGAGTTGGGCCCTCCTAGACTGCTTTTCCAGGCCACTAGCAGGGAGCTGGATGGGGAGCGGGTCGCCAGGGTTCAAACCGGCGCCCAGATGCGATCTTGGCACATGCAAAGTGAGGACTTTAGCCGCTATTGTGCACCAGGGCCTATCCATTGCTTTTTTATTTTAACATCTATAGGACATAAGATTTGTCATCTTAACTATTTTGAAGCATACATTTCGGGAGTCACAGTGACATTCACAACGACCCACAACTGTCATTGCTATCTAGTTGCCAGACTGCCACCCCCCAAGACAAAATCTGTAGCCGTTGATCGAGACTTTTCATTTCTTTCTCCCCTAGTTGGCGGTGCGATCTACTTACTCTTGTGTGGGTTCACCTATTCTGAATGTTACAGATAAGTAAATCAGATAAGAATTGGTCTTGTGTCATTGACTTATTTTATTTGGCAAAATATTTTCAAGATTTCTCCTTGTTATGGCATGCCCCAGAACTCTGTTCCTTTCCGTAGCTGAGTAATATTCCACCTTGTACATATGCCACATTTTGTTTATCCATTCCTCTATGAATGGAAACTTGGATTGTTGACGCCTTTTGGCTGTTGTGAACAATGCCAGGAATATTGGAGAGAAAGTATCCATTTGAATCCTGATTGGAGTTCTTTGGGGCACATAAGTAGGAAGAGAATTGCTGAGTCACATGATAATTCTATGTATAGCTTTTTTGAGGAAGTGCCAGACTTCCACAGCAGCTGTGTCATATTGCATCCCCACCAGCAATGGGAAGGTTCTGATTTTGACATGTTTTAACCAACACCTACGCTGATTATTTTCTGGTTGTCTTGGTTTTTTAATAGCCGTGTTAGCCAGTATGAAGTGTCTGCTTATTCTTTGTAGATGTATTTTTCAACATAAGTGATGTTTATTGAAATAAGCAATAACTTTTATTGCTAATCTCGTAAGAAGCAAGCAAATGAAAGCTGCAGCAACAACATCATCAAAATTATTTACTAATACTGCCAGCATAATAAATCGACTGTGGTGCTTTTGGCTGAAGTATCTTGTCCATTAAGACAGTAAATTTAGGAAATGTCAAATTTCATCAACTCAAAACAGTGATTATTACCATTAAGAAATCCACTCAAGATAATTTTCTATGTCAGTATGTAACTAAAAGGATAAATAGGCATTATTATTATTATTATTATTATTATTTATCAAATGGGAGGATACATGTAAGATTTGAAAACATGAAACTGGAAGCAGGCCTGTAGAATAGCAGGTGAAGTCAGTGCCTCGGTTGACTATATCCCGAGACAGCTTGCCTGGTTTGAGTCCCAGCTATTCCTCGTTTTCCATCCAGCTTGCTGGCTATTGTTCCTGGGAGATACAAGAGGATAGTCCACCTGCTTGGGCATCTTCCACCTACACGGAGACCTGTGTGGGGCTCCAGGCTCCAGACGTCAACCTGACCCAGCCTCAACTGTTGCAGCAATTTGCAGAATAAACCAGAGGGTGGACAATATCTGCATGTGTGGTGTGTGTGTGTGTCTCCCTCTGGTTCTCCTTTTCTGTTCACCTTGCTTTCAAATATCTAAGAATTCCATTTTCATTGGCTCTTTTTTTTTTTTCTTTTTCATTGGCTGTTAAGCATAACTATTTAAATAGGTTCACTACTAGAGACAACGATCTTTGTCTGCTGGTTCACTCCCCGAGCAGCCACAATGGCCAGAGCTGAGCCAATCTGAAGACAGATTGTCCACGTGGGTGCAGGCTTTAGGCCAACCTCCACTGTTTTTCCAGGTCATAAACAAGCAGCTGGATGGGAAGTGGAGTAGCTGGGACACGAACTGGTACTCTTAAGGACTGCCAGCGCTTGGAGGTAGAGGATTGGCCAACTGGCTAATTGAGCCAACACTTTGGCCTTATTCTGATTCTTTAAAGACTGAGGGTTTTTTTGTAATAAAAAGGGGTCTTGGACCCTTATAGATGGTGACCAGGAAAGGATCCGGTCTTCAGACAAGTTCCACACCTCATAGCAGCAAGGCTGGGTAGCAGTTAAGGAGATGCTCCCTGGACCCCTAACAAAAACTGGGGAAAGGAAAGTGGACATTGTTTATGCTGAGCCAACATTGGCTATGAATAGGAGGGCAGGAATGCACAAAGTGGGGGAAGTTTGGGGGTAGGAATCCAGCCTCTAAGAAGAAACATGCTTTGCTTGTAACTGCTTGAGGTTCTTGGTCTGGGAAGACCATACATATGCAGGACTCAACACCAGGGGCTCCCCAACACCGGGACACTCCAAGGACAGACCGGGTCACTGCAGGGACTGTGTGTTCATTCATATTTCTGTCTACCTTCCTTCACTTGTCCTGGTGTCCCTGGAGGGCCTTCCTCTCTGCTCCCCCCAGTGACAGTGTGTGTCCAGCGCCTGGTTCTCTCCCTGTACTCTGCTGCCCCAGCTTGCGCAGGCATGGCAAGTCACCCATTCTCTTGGTGGACACTGAGGTGTTTACCATAGGTACTGTGATGAATAAAACAGGTTGCAAGGGCTGTAATAGGCAGACACACTCATTTCTCTCACACACATGCCTGGGAGTGGAATTTCTGAGTAGTTGTATGTTTAGCTTTATAGAAACTACCAAATGGCTTCCCAATGTGCCCTTACCCCTTTATGTTCCTACCAGCACTGTCTGGAAGTTGGCAGATCCAACTCTTCACCAATACTTCTTTTTTAAAAGGTATTCTTTGTTTATTTAATATTTTTCTTTGTTAAAATTTTTATTTATTCGTTTATTTATTGAAAAGGCGGCATTTCAGGGAGCGATAAGGAGAAAAAACAGAGACAAAGAAAGATCTTCCTTCCTCTGTTTCACTCTTCAAATGGCCACAAAGGCCACTGTTGGGCTGGTTTGAAGTTACGAGCCAGGAGCTTCATCCAGATCTCCAATGTGGATGCAGGAACCCAAGCACTTGGACACATCAGCAAGGAGCAGGATCAGAAATGGAGCTTCTGGGACTTGAACCAGCACCCATATGGAATGTTGGCACTGTAGACAGTACTTGACCCCACAGCACTACAGTACCAGCTCCATTAATATTTCTTCAATAGAAGTGTTTACTTGGGCCCGGCGCGGTGGCGCAAGTGGTTAAAGGTCCTCACTTTGCACGCCCGGGATCCCATATGGGCGCCGGTTCTAATCCCGGCAGCCCCGCTTCCCTTCCAGCTCCCTGCCTGTGGCCCAGGAAAGCAGTCGAGGATGGCCCAAAGCTTTGGGACCCTGCACCCGTGTGGGAGACTCAGAAGAGGCTCCTGGCTTCGGATTGGCATAGTATCGGCCGTTGTGGTCACTTGGGGAGTGAATCATCGGACGGAAGATCTTCCTCTCTGTCTCTCCTCCTCTCTGTATATCCGCCTTTCCAATGAAAAAATAATAAAAATAAATCTCTAACAAAAAAGAAGTGTTTACTTTTAGCATAGATTTTTTTGAAAAATCATGGGAAGATCATCAGTAGCATGCATGCTTTTCTTTGGTACTGAAAACCGCGTCATGGCCAGGCAGGAAGAAAGTTTCATGGGTCCCTCCCAACAAGACCCAGTTCCTTTCAGGTGTGAGAACCAGGACAGGGTGCAAGACAAGCTGGGTTGGGTCACAAAACCAGTCAGTTCACGTTAGGGCAGGCTTGGGGGCTGGCTGGGCTGAGCTAG